ATGAGGTGACCTTCTTTGCTCTTACTGTATGCATATTACATCCTTGTATGATTGGCAGAAAACAATCCTCTGTTTCCTTGCATACAATCTCGGTAATCAAAATCGATTTTGATATTTCTTTATTTGCACAGTAGTTTTCCGTTTAAATTGTTATCGATCCATCGTAACCCTAAACTTTGCTCTTCAATCTTTTGCATCCTGGTCTTTTCGTTTCCTTGACTCAGTTAATAACATCAGTGATGCATTTTCCTATCTCAATACAAGGACCTGTTACTTTTTTATAGTAAATACTTAAAAGGGACTAACATGTGTTCATCGATGAATTTTAGTTCTGTAATATACCTTTCTAAGTAATGGTTTGAATTATATAATTCGTCTCCAATTTAAGTTACAACACGTATTCTTCTTAAGGTGAAAAGATACAATACCATTATCAGACAGATCTAGGGATAATTTTTCTCAATCAGTATCGTACTAAAGTATTTATGTCAGTACTTGTATTTTCGTTTCCTTGGCAAGTGGCAGTGAGCTCTGGTGTTAATATCTCCTGTGATCTGTTAAGAAATGAAAACTTATTCAAGTTAGCAACATTTTTACAACACTGCTTATACTCCGATACAAATGTCAAAGTTCTTGTACCTCTTTCATTTACTTCACAAAGTCTTCAATTTCAAGTGAATAAAAATTGTTCTGCGAAATGATTCACCATTTCGTGTACTGAATTATGATGCTGTAGGAAGCAATTTTCATTTAGATCACACAGTTTGTGGTTGCCTTCATTTGGCATGTAACTGTACAGAACGCACAATACTTCCATTGTAAAAATATGGAAACACCATCCTATTCAATAACATTAAAAATAACTTAAAATTTCCGGGTGCTGATGACTTGGCTTATATTTCTCCATGCACAACTATCCTTGGATCAAGCTTCCTGGTGGAGAACACCGTGTGAGCCGCGGCATTTTATTTTATCTACATGTGCATGAAATACATGTTCTGCACCAAATGAATCGGGTGCTACTTTCATTATTCAGTACTCCTAAGTCAAATCTGCAAAAATACTAAAATTGCATTTTGCCTATATTTTTAAAAATAAAAATTACAGATAGGATAGGATAAGCTCTCAAAAGGTATTTTTACTAAAATTTTAATTTTCATTATTAACCAATTATGGACCACCAAACCCGTAAATGCTGTTAATTCTTTACCCATTTCTAGACTGGTTCACAATTCTTTCAAATAATTAGTACATTGTGTCCTTTAACCAGATCTAAATTTCTTAGAAAGACATTTATTTTACTCATTGATATTGGAACATAATTGAAAGAAAGAATTGGCCATACTTGTGCAAAAATAATAGTGTGCTGGCATTTTATGGGATACCACTGTATGTATCTAAATGCGTATGCCTTACATGTTGCTGTGTCGAAGTGGTTTATTTTTGTTATTAAAATAATTGTTTTCTGCCTTTGAATCTTCATGTTATCTTTCTATAGTATGCATGCTACACAAATGACATACCAACACGCTGACATCAGTAAGTATGACATCATAGAGTATCAATTTACATAACGCATTGTATTTTCATCTCTTACTGCCTAGAAGACAAGATTTAAATGTTATAAATTTCAAAATTGCATTTCTTTTCTTTCTGACTCTAACAGAAATAAGATACAGTGCACCCCTATTTCTATCATCCAGAGAAAACCAATAGGTGTGTCACATGACAGGTCAAAATGGTGAGGCCATTGCCTTTCTGTGACTAAAACAAATACACATACCCATGAAGCACCAAGAGATGCCGACATTCCCAAATTAATTAAACTATCAACACATCTGATTCATCACCCCCCCATCTAATAAAAAAGGTATAAAAGTTAAAGAAAAGTTCCATAAGATTAGATATACTGAAGAATTAAACAAATGAGTGCTACTTTTTAGTATAAAACGATGGAAAAGGGTAAGGAAGCAAAGAATAGTCATTTCTTATAGTTAGTTAGTGCAAGAGCAATGTTACCTATATAGAAAGCTTTAATTTCAAATCTGAAACCACATTTCTGGCATGAAGCTCGTTTTCATCTATTCATATCAAAACACATATCACTTAGATAACACAGAATAAAATGCCAAGATGTGGAAAACTTTGTTCCGAGAGCGCCAATTTGAACACCCTGAATGTCAAGGTTTTCTTTTATTGGACTTGAAACATGAAGAGAAAGGAAGTCTGGTGAGGCAGGAGAGAGCAATATGCTCGACATGCAAGTTATACATCAAGAATGCTGCAGCTGCATAAAGGTAGTGGAAGTAAAACTACATGTGTAAATAATGCGATACAGATAGGACTTTTGCAAACTTCTATTGGAAACGAAGGATTGAGAACTATTCTTTTAAGTTCGAATGTCCCTTCTCCCTCAACAAAAGGAATGCTCCACTATTATTTGCCAAAAAATTGAATGTACCAACGTGACTTACATGGCTGAACATAGAAAAGTTGTCAAGGAGTTTGTGATGTGATGTGATCATGATTTTTAACGTAACTTTAACAATTTTCAGTCATATCGCTACGATGTCTGCAATGTGGCAGTTTATAGTGATGTCTAGCACTGGGTCATCATGCCACAGACATGTAGCATAATGTCCCACCCAGTCACATTATTCTGACACCAAGCCGACCAGTCCTAACACTAACCTCTTAATGCTGAGCGCCAAGCGAGGCAACTGTTAGTACCATTTTTGTAAGTCTTTGGTATGACTCAACCGGTGATGGAACCAACGACCTCCCGCATCCGAAGCGGACGCTCTAACCACTAGACCACCTTAGCGGTGCCAAGAAGTTTGAATTCTATGATATGAAATAAGACATATATAATTGATATTCAGTGTGACTATACATATAATAATGCAATTTATAGTGGAGTAGGTAGGACACCCTTTCAGCCAGCTACCCAGTGCACTCACATTCTAGTTGACGACTCTACTCCTGAGAAAAGGGTCATTAATATAACTACAAAGAATAAACTATGCACATTGGGTAAAATGCATACATCTGATGATAAAACTAAATTGTGTCACTGCAGAGCAAATATAAGTTTACGAAGAAATATTGGAGATGAATTCACATTTTGTAAGGAAGAGCTTATACATGTGTAGAAAATCTAGATGTACGCAACATGGCAATTGAGCCAGACACTGCTAGTTACCAGGCTAGCTTGGACTATAACTGAAACAGTCCCTGTAAATCATATTGATACATGCCATCTTGTTCAGAATGACACAAACTTCATTAAAGGTCAGAGCAAATTATTTGATTCGATGCCAGGAAGAACTAAATAAACTGAGGAAAAAGATGCAGAGCAACTTTGCAGTTGATTTGACTAAGAGGTGCCAGGCTGAGTTTGAAAAATCATTTAAAAATATGATATATGTACACCAAAATTAATAAGTAATTTATCTTATGCAACAAATGCAATAGTTAAGTGCTATCGAGATGATTAGTCTTTGTCCTAAGCGGTCGAATGTGTGTTGGGTAGCTGGTACAATCTGATTAGATAGAAGTACATTCTTGCCAAGTGATTTCAAACTGAAAATATTCAGTGTGAGAGAGAACAACAACAACATGTATGTGTGTTGAATATCAGCTGATAAAATCTGCAGTGTTTAAAACAAAATTAAACGGGAACACTCATAACATGGAATCAGTGAATCGAATCATGCCAAAGAATATAACCTTTAAGAAAAACTTCCGTGGCATGGTTCTTAGTGCTGTCCATAACTGCAACCATGCACCTCGAGAATCTATGGTGTCAATATATCGGTTGTTTGATTTCAGCTTGCATTTCTGTGGCACATCTGAAAAGCAAGCAAGATATACCTCAGAGATAAAAATATATAAAGCAAGTACAGTATATAAGAGAAAAAATGTGAGAAAAGGGCATTTTAAGAAGACAAGGATTATAACAAAGGCAAATTAATGTGTTCTATGGCTAAAAAAATAAAGCAAAACATGAACATTTTTACCATAAACCACCTCCATTTAAATACATTTCTACAGGTTGAGACAATGCGGCATGTACAATTTTGTGCACTCTCCTTGCTTTGATTTACTTAATGTGTCTTTAAAGTTAAATGATCAGTACTGATACAAAGGCGATTGTGACATAAGTGGCTTATATTTAAAATCTCTTCTACCACCACATTTGTGGGAATTGTTGCATACTGTAGAGGAATACTCCATCGGCTACACTGCTCCGAGTCTCACTATCTCGGGTTCTATATGATAGGTCTTGTATTAGGAGTTAAACCCTGCTGAATCTGTCTGTTGACTGGCATTCCAGAATTTGATTTCTACCTCAGCGAGATACCATCTTATTTCTGGTTTCTCGTGTGTCGCCAGCTTGGTGACAGACTAGTCACACAGTCGCCGACTTGTCGCATGGTCGCAGTCTGGCCGCAGAGTAGCCGACTGGATCGCCGTCTGGTCGCAGTGTCGCCGACTGGTCTCACTCTGGTCATCGGCTGGGTTTTCTTCTGTATCCTTGGTGCAAGCTTCTGTGTAAAGAACACCATATGAGCATTTGATTTATCTACATGTTCATGAAAATATTGATACTGAACCAAATGAATCATGTCTACTTTCATTACTGAGTACTCCTAGGCCAAGTCTGTAAAAACACTAACATTGCATGAAAAGAATTTTGTTATTTTTTAAAAAAAATTACAGATAGAATAAGTTCTGAAATTTATTTTTATAAAAATTTTTGATTTTCATTATTAAATAATTATGGACCACCAATCATGTATATACTCTATCATTTCTTCACCCATTTCTAGACTGGTTCACAATTTGTCCATATAATTAGTACTACAAGTCCTTTCATCGAAACTTCAGACTGTTTATGAATCGTAAATGGAACATAGCAGAATACTCGTAAGAAGTTCTGAATGAAATAATCTTTAAGAAATTCAGTTATGTGCTAACGTTGAGTTATGAACCGCTCCGATGGCCGAGTGGTTAGAGCGTCCGCCTCATATGCGGGAGGTCGTGGGTTCAATCCCCAAACGAGTCATACCAAAGACTTACAAAAATGTTACTAATAGCTGCCTCGCTTGACGCTCAACAACAAGAGGTTAGTGTTAGGACTGGTCAGCCTGGTGTCAGGATAATCTGACTGGGTGGGACATCATGTTACATGTTTGCGGCATGATGCCCCAGTGCTGGACATTACTATAAACTGCCACAAGGCAGACATCGTAGCGATATGACTGAATTTTTTTTTAAAGCTACGGTAAAAGTCATAATCATATCACATGGTACTGACATCAAGTCAAAATGTTTATTAGTACAAACGAATTAAAATCAGGCTTAAAGAATAATCGATTCAAATAAATATTTTACTAAATAACGCTAGTTTTGCTGTCTACTTTTTATATTTTACTATTTACTTTTCTAGTGATAGCGGCTTCGCCAATATTAAGTATGTATTATAATTTTTTTTTTAAAAAAAGTTATATTTTCAACGTCATTTATTGCATTTAACTGAATGTTTGGCATAATATATACACAAAGCATTTTATACGCTAGGTTTTCTTGTCTATTGTGCGTGTACAGAAAGATGCATCATCGAAACGCCTTTCCTATTTTACCCAGAAGCGTACTAATGGATGGAGGATGGTTGTCCCAGGCGCCAGAGGTCTTTGGGTGCCAAAACGACAGAATGCATCATACAATGGTACTTGAATGTGAATGATATAAATTAGATGCCAGGAAAACCACCCAACTGCATTAATTTCAGGAAAATCATTCAACATGTCAGATTTTCTTTTTTTTTTGTCCAGAGAAAGATTAATTAAGATACATACATCTCCATTCAAGTGTTTGGCGTGTGGAAACCTTTCACTTGACAAATGATGAATAGGACAAAAATACCGAATTTGGGCTATTTCTAAATGCTAATTTATAATCGGGATTTAAACGGGCGCGGAACAAACCTGTCTTGAAAATACGACAAAATCACCAATTGTATTGATGTGGCATGTTTCCATGTATTGTATGAGATTAACAAAAATCAGTTTTTGGACAGTTTCTTCACAAAGCTGGCAACTGAAGCAGACGACATGGATATCGAAAAGAGGCATCTTGGGAAAACTGCATTGTGTTACCTACCAGGTGAGACACTTAGCTCCGCAGAATCAGTGATGCATTTTCCTATCTCAATACAAGGTCATTTTACTTTTTTATATTAAATACTTAAAAGGGACTAACATGTGTTCATCGATGAATTTTAGTTCTGTAATATACCTTTCTAAGTAATGGTTTGAATTATATAATTCGTCTCCAATTTAAGTTACAACACGTATTCTTCTTAAGGTGAAAAGATACAATACCATTATCAGACAGATCTAGGGATAATTTTTCTCAATCAGTATCGTACTAAAGTATATATGTCAGTACTTGTATTTGACAAAACGAATATTTTTTTGCTAGGTTGGTTTGTTTTGGGTCTACAGTTTACAGCACTGCAACATTCGATGGTTATGTCGTACTAAAGCAGGTACAATAATTCCCCTGAATCCGTGTCAGGTTAATCAAACTGTGTGAATCGAACCTGCACCCTTTTCGTCACGAGTCCAACGCTTAGCCATTGTTGCTTTAGTTTAGATGAATGTGCATCTAATGTCTTGAGTTTGTCATGATTTCTCGATGCAACTGTCTTAAGGGTCTTTTTAAAATGTTCTAAGTGGGAACGGCATCCTCGCTAATTTTTAGCTTAAATTCACTAAATTAGAGTCGACTAGTCATAAATATTTCTGACAAGTCTAGCGTAATAACTATAATCACGATAAGTGAGATCGTTAGCTTACGTGTAAAATGATTGATCACCGAAGTGATTGCTCCGCCCATTCATTAGCATGGCATTCAAGCTCCGCCTATTCATTAGCATGACATTCAAACTTCGCTAATTCATAAGCATGGCATTTAAGCTCCGGCTAGTAATTAGCATAGCAATCAATGTAAACATAAAAAATTATGTATAATTGCTCCAACTTTCCTTCGAAAAGTAAAACAATTAGTCAATCGTCAAGATGTTGGAGCTCCTCCGACAAGCGACAAGATTACAACCTATTTTACGTAATGCTCACATACGTCAAAAGACACCAGTTTTATGTGGCAAATTGTTACCTGTAGTCTTGTCGAGTTATATTTGACGAGGCATGAGGTATCGTTATTATGAAAATCCATACTGGAAATGGTATTTAGCATACATGTCAAAATCATTCGTAAAACATACAAAATTTTCTTCTCTCTCTCTCTCTCTCTCTCTCTCTCTCTCTCTCTCTCTCTCTCTCTCTCTCTCTCTCTCTCTCTCTCTCTCTCTTGTGTAGCACTAGAATCGCTTTGCATCTGTCGCTGATACAATATTTTCATTTGAACCTTGCAACTGGAATTTAGAACTAATATAAGTACCCTAATTTCATGCAGGGGTTGCTAAGACGAGCCTTAATTTATTAGTAGAGCACCCAGTAGCGAATCAAACCCGACTACTTTTTCGGCATATTGTCAAAAAGTTTGAAGATGTCTCGTGTGTATATATATATATATATATATATATATATATATATATATATATATATATATATATATATATATATATATATATATATATATATATATATATATATATATATGTGTGTGTGTGTGTGTGTGTTTGTATGTGTGTGTGTACTGAAATAAATTAAATAGTTCTTTTATTTATTATTTAATACCAGAATCGCTGAATTTCGTTGTATAAAAATGTACTTGTAAAATAGCGTTTACCTTTTTCATATGATTTTTCTTTTGGCTTATCCTTCATGTTAGTCAGTCGATTAACGAATTCAATTTTCAGCCTCGTGTTTTCTTATGCAATATAAAGACATCGCATCATTATTTGAAAGCGTAATGAGGTCACAGTAGCTGGCAGGCATTGAATATCCAAATATGGTATATCAAGCCTCTTGTGAGAAACGAGTTACTTTTAGACTCGCGTAATCTGTCATAGCTGATAAGACTATTGTTAGCGTTACCAATGTATTTCATCTTATTTCATCTTAATAACTTTGTAATAGGTCAAGCTTCCTTCAAATATGGCTCTAGTTTGAGAGTATGTACCCAATTATTCTTTCTTACTTTAGCGATACTTCTGCTTGCTTCATTACATGATATGGGGATCGGTTTGCAGCCTCAACTTGGCTACTAGCATTTTTGTTCGTTCTTTACAAAGAAAGCACTAGGCCTAGGCAACCATTTCTCTTTTGTGCACATAAATGCTATTACGAGCAAATTGTACATTCTATGTGATAGAACCTTAAATGTTTGCATAGGAAATGGCAAATATTCACGATAATAGAATTTTGATATATCCATTGTTGTACTCAGCAGGAGGAGATATTGATGGAGTGATAAAAGTGGAGTTCGGGTTAACAAATTAGGAAATGACAGCTCTAGGTCAGGAAACATTGCAACTGTGTAACGAATTTCTGGTCTCCCATTACGAGTTTTGACTTGGGTCAGATTCAGTTAGGAATGAACTCTACATGCGATTTCTTTATTGCATCGTCGAGAATGAAGCCTCGAGTTTACTGAATTAAGACGTGATGTTGGTAGCGTTATTATGATCTTAGTCAATAAATATTTAACAGATAACTGTGTTAGCAAACAAACGACTCTGAACAGCCCATCTTAGCGTCCAGATTTTGATCAAATTGTGGAGGCGCTTAAAAGTAAAACGATCTGAGTTACATTCATAAATAATTCTCAACATGTTAGTTAAATGATTTTGAAACAATCGCGTGGAAATTTGTGATAGTTCCATCAAGCCATTAAAAATAACACATTTAATTTAGATGAATTATGGTAACCCAAGAAAGTAAAATAAACTTTAGATGAATTATGGTAACCCAAGAAAGGAAAATAAACTTTAGATGAATTATGGTAACCCAACAAAGTAAAATTAACTTTAGATAAATTATGGTAACCCAACAAAGTAAAATAAACTTTAGATGAATTATGGTAACCCAACAAAGTAAATTAACTTTAGATGAATTATGGTAACCCAACAACGTAAAATAAACTTTAGATGAATTATGGTAACCCAACAAAGTAAAATAAACTTTAGATAAATTATGGTAACCCAAGAAAGTAAAATAAACTTTAGATGAATTATGGTAACCCAACAAAGTAAAATAAACTTTAGATGAATTATGGTAATCCAACAAAGCAAAATAAACTTTAGATGAATTATGGTAACCCAAGAAAGTAAAATAAACTTTAGATGAATTATGGTAATCCAACAAAGTAAAATAAACTTTAGATGAATTATGGTAATCCAACAAAGCAAAATTAACTTTAGATGAATTATGGTAACCCAAGAAAGTAAAATAAACTTTAGATGAATTATGGTAACCCAAGAAAGTAAAATAAACTTTAGATGAATTATGGTAACCCAAGAAAGTAAAATAAACTTTTGATGTTGATGGCATCTTATGTTTAAGCATGCTATTAAAAGAATATTTAAAAATGAGCTATCATTAAATGAAAACCTATAACACCATACTACAATGCCATTCTATTGTGAGACAACGAACGTTTATTCTGTTGCTATTCTGTTATTGTCAATTTGATATAAACGGTTACCGATCAAACTAAACTATTAAAATATACATACTGTGTAATGTTTTTGCGAAAATATGATTTTGAGAGGCAAAAGGGAGCATCGTATCTTTTGAACAATTTCACACACAGCTGGAGACGTTGCAGATTGAAGCGAAATGCCTGAAATGTCTGCATAAACGCTTAAATTGGACGTTCATCTGTAAATAAGTGACCATTCGACTTCAATAAATCTTTCGAATTCTCATACTGCATGGCGTACAACACCGTTAAAAAAGACCAACAACCTCAAGAATAACGTCGCTCAAGAAGATAAACAAAACGTCGCATGAAAAATCTGACGAACTGAACATTAACAGAGCGGCTTATTTGGAACAAAATATTGTCTAGAATCCATATGACAGTTTTATTTGGACA